GAGGGACACTGAGAGACTGGCAAAATTCTGAGATTTTCTCTACATTCAAACAAACATATCTGACTTTCTGTGGGTCCTAGCTAATGAGTGTCAATTAGAAAGTTGTCCGGCTCGAGGAGTACAATATACATACTGATTTTTGTAACTGTAGATAAAACTAACAACCCCACTTTTGTCAAAAGGTGGCGCTACTGAGCCCTCACCACACCCGTTTCTGAAACGTTGCACATGTCTACTGGCTAATAAATGTGATGTGTCTGTCGAGTTTCATGCAATTTGAAGCATGCTAAGAGTCTCAAAAGCATCCTAAAAGAATGGTAAAGTTTGATGCGTTGCCACGGCAACAGTTTCAAAGATATCAAGAATCCATTCACAGGTCTACATCTGCCGTATGTTTACATTATACAGATGAAGTTTGAAGCAAATCGGGTAAAAATAAAAGGGTGATATCAAAGCATTTTGAAAATGAAACACTTCCTGCTACCAGTTGGTGGCGCTATAACTTTGACTCGCAATAGTCACATCCATGTGATCATCCTCTTACAGCGAACACACTTCTGAAGTTTCATCAAGATCGGTTGATGTGTGCTGAAGTTATGATACACTTCCTGTTTCACGTTTCTCGCCATAATTTTGTTTCCTCGCCACGGCCAAACCGTTCCAGATATCAAAAATCCCCTCGCAAACTTTCATCCTCAATGTCTTGACTTCACGCTGACCGAGTTTCGTCGAATTTGGATCAAAGCTCTAGGAGGAGTATTAAAAATTCCATTGCGAGTGTTTTACGAACAACCCTAAATAGCCGACTTCCTGTTGGGCTGGGGTAAAAAGTAAAAGCGCGAGGTATAGATGAAACGATGAGATCAACATGTGTACCGAGTTTCATATTATTACATGCAAGCGTGTTTGATTTATGGACCAAGTGTTCGGACCCCGTTCCAGGGGGCGCTGTCGAGCCCCCCTGCCACGCCCGGGTACCAGCTTCAGCCCGGCTCTGATGGCCGCGGGTTCTGACTCGTGTGCAAAGTTTCAAGAGTTTTCGAGCATGTTAAGGGCCCCAAAAGTGCCCGAATAGTCGTTAGAAAAATAAAAGAAAAAAAAAAAAAAAATAATCGGAAGGAAAACAATAGGGCCTTCGCCCTTTCAGGGCTTGGGCCCTAATAATCGGAAGGAAAACAATAGGGCCTTCGCCCTTTCAGGGCTTGGGCCCTAATAATCAGCCTGTGTATCTCAATTGTGGTGACAAAATTAATCATTGTTGCCACCAATCACAACTCATTAATGGCTCCCATCATGCATTGCGGTTTGAATAAATTACGACCTGAATTGTCTATGTAATTTACTTTTTCTACTTGAATATTCTACTCGTCACCGTTGTTGAGAAGCATTGACTGAATCTTGAGGTCTGTGTGTGCCTAAAGGAAAGGTTTTTTTTTTTTTAAAACAACTTTTGAGAAATCCGTCAATTATATTTAACATTCTGGATATTTATGCAGAATCTCAGTTACATTAACCAACAGAATAAATTATAGACATAAATATCGAATGATGAATATCATTATGTAACCAACATCATTTTGTTTATATTTGTTCATCTGACAGGTAAAACTCAGATGCAACAGCAAATTCAAATACAAAGTTAATATTATAAGGGTGAAGAGCCCAACTAAAGCAAACACTCATCTCCATAACGGTGGCTTAAAATTTTAGATTTTTTCCTTGTGATTCTGCTTTAGGTGTCTTCAATAATGCTCAATCATCACTCATTTAATCACTTAATTATCTCATTACCTTTAACACTCTTGAGTGTGGACTCATATACACTCCAGGTGTGTTAAGTTAACACGGGAGATTTCGTCGTGACGAAGAGCTGTAGTTCACTGACCAGCTGAGCCATATCGCATTAAATATCGATATCGATATGTCCTCGATATTAACGCGATATGGCTCAGCTTGTCAGTGAACTACGGCTCTTTGTAGTAAATGCCGGTCCATCTGAAAGCAGGTGAAGGTGATTTACTGCTAATCAAGTAACCGGCTTTACTGATTAGATGCGCATAACAATATCGTGCGATATATCGCCCAGCCCTACTGTAAAATCCCGCAGTAGTTTAGAGAGGCGTTCATGTGTCACAAGTGTGTGTGTGTGTCCATGGTGTAAGAGCTGAGGTGTGTCAGGCTTCCCCCGTGATGTGTCAGGCTGAGACTCGCTGCGGGCGTTTGGTTAGAAACTACCGACACAATCAAACTGTGTGTGTGTGTGTGTGTGAGTGTATGTGTGTGTATGTGTGAGTGTATGTGTGAGTGTATGTGTGTGTATGTGTGTAACAAGCGTTTTTCTGAGGAGAGCTACGAGAGTTTCTGTCTTCTCTGTCACTCTCCACTCCCCCCCCCACACAACACAGACTTTTTTCATATTAATTTACATAAAATCATGCCCATCTATTTAAGTCAATCAGACAATTGAACTCCATCCCATGTCCACATTCGTAATTTGTCCTCCGTAATGCAAAGCCGTGCACCCGCTACACCCTGCTCAATTGAAATGTATTGAGATACGTAGGAATTAATAAAAAAGTAGAATAGAAAGAGAAATGAGTAGTGTAAATAAGCAATCAATGTTTATAAGAGGAACAGATGGAAATAAATAATTGATATTGTCAGATCAACTGACTGGAATGACATGGACATGTCTGTGGTAAAACATATTATCGAGTGTGTTGAGAAACCCCTGGTAACATATATGCAATTTGTCTTTTTAAAATGGCACATTTCCTAAAAAAAAAGAAAATCGCTAAAGTTATATCCATATATAAAATTGGAGATAGACATACCTTTTCAAATTATAAGCCCATTTCTTTGCTTTCACAATTTTCAAAAAATATTGGTAAAATTAGTTTACACAAGATTAAATGATTTTCTTATAAAATATGATATACTAAGCAAGCAACAATATGGGTTTAGAAGTATTAGAACAGTCTCACATGTGTTAAAAGATTTGTGGAGAAAATATCTAACGCAACAGAAAATAAACAATACACAGTTGGGGTATTTTTAGATCTTAAAAAGCATTTGAGTTTTTCTAGAGAAAAGGAGATCTAGAGATCTTACTAGAGAAACTAAAAAAAATGAAGCAAGAGGGGTAGCTCACTCTTGGATAAGTAATTATTTAGAGAAAAGGCATCAATATGTCCAAATAGATAATTGCAGGTCACAATTGGTGCAGGTAACATGTGGGGTTCCCCAAAGCTCTGTGCTGGGCCCATTGCTTTTTCTGTTACACATTAATGATATATGTGAGGTTTCCAAAGTACTAAAATTTATATTATTTGCAGATGATACAAACTTATTTTGTCATGGTGACAATCTGAAACAACTTCTGGATACAATGGAAAAATAAATGGTACTGCTAAATATTGGTTTGATTTGAATAAACTAACATTAAATTTAAGGAAAACAAAATGTGTTGTATTTGGTAATCGTTTATCGAATAAAATAGGTAAATGAATGATTAATGAAGTTGAAATAGAAAGGGTGTCAGCGATTACATTTCTTGGAGTGATTATAGACAATAAAAGAAACTATTTAAAAATAATGCAATGAAACTAAATGAAACAATTTAAAGAGCGATAAATGAACAAACTGTTTTTGTTGTATTTGGGATGGTGCAAATGTACTGCTTAGGTAATAATTTTTTTTTAGATTTGTTTGTCAAGATTATAATGTAAGACAATAATTATTTTACTTTTATTTTTCAAATAAGAGATATTTTCAAAAAAAGGATAGGCATTATAAGCAAGAGCTTCAGCCTACACCTGTTTCAGACTGTTGTAAATATACTGCTGTTTGTCAGCTCAACTGTTTTGAGACTAAGTTTTTTATCTGAAACTGTCTATCTACAAAGCGTGCGTACACCATAGCTGTCAACACTGAACATTGAAAATATCCCCCAAAATTAGGGATTCTTTTTACACGATTCTTAACCACAAACTTTAAAAATAAAGCAATAATCATTAAAAGTCTAAATAATTTATAACTAGCCTACATATGTGCGAGAGAGAAAGAGACTGATATCATAGAAAATGTTTAAATACTAATATCAGCTTACGAGGGAAACGGAGGCGAAGTTAGTGCGATCAGAGCGCGCGCTGACACTGATCAACTCAGCCTTGTTTATTCTCGGCGCGTCCGCGGCAAGTGACAAGTTCGGTGCACAAGACCGCCAAGACTTCGTTTCACTTAGCTGTGTCTAAGCTGTGTGCACAGCTTTTTTGTAACAGCACGCGGCACCGCATGATTAGCATCCGAGGATGAACGACTTCAAGCCGAATCTGTCCAAACGTGTACGTCTCACACAATCAGAGTGTAAAAATACATTGCCTGGATACAATTTGGGCGGACTGAACCATTTTATGATAATTGAGAGGGGGAGAGGGACCCACGGACGTTTGTGTTTACTAAACAAAATCATTTTTTGACACCAGGAAACAGCAAATAGAGTCATTTAAAGTTAATAATTTTAACAATCAAATGGGCTATATGCACGCATAATTTCCGCATTTGACGTAAGGATGCTCGTCCATTTCCGGTTGTGTAGATTAAAGCGGAGGAAAACCGGAGAAAACGGGATTATGGCAGAGTCTTCAAAATTGACTGTCCTCCCGTCTTTGAAACGAAACGTACATACGGTTAGATGTAATTTTATATATAGTTATGTTTATTTAATATAATTTTAAAAAGAAGCATAAACACAACGAGGGGTGTCTGTTTTATCTGTTTTTGTGACTAACGTTTCATTAGTATAACTATAGAGTATAAAATTCAATATAAATTCGCGGTATTGCATTGGACTCTATGATCTGCGGAAGTTATCGAGCATCCTTAATCCTTCACCGGAAATAACGCCGTGCATAGAGCCCATATAATTTTTTAGAACCACAATTTTATTGAGGGCTTCTCTGTGCCCCCTCTTAGTCATGGGCCCCGAGAATCGTCATCGTTTACCCCCCCTTTACGGCGCCCCTGGACAGCATTATGTTATTTATAGTTTAAGTGTTGTGTTTATCTCTGGATATAGGCTTAATGTGTGTCATTGTTCTCTACAGGTTGATGGGTTGTGGAGTCACAGATGAAGGTTGTGTTGCTCTGGCTTCAGCTCTGAGATCAAACCCCTCACACCTGAGAGAACTGAATCTGTCATTTAATAATCTAGGAGACTCAGGAGTGAAGCAGCTGGAGGATCTGAGGGATGATCCACATTATAAACTGAAGACACTGTGGTAAGAATAGTTCTTAACGATTTTCATCATTAGATTTTCATTTAAAGTTCAAATGGCGGATTTACTCACTAGAAATAAAAGTAATGGTTCAGATTCAGTAACACTGTGTGTGTGGGTGTGTGTGTGTGTGTGTGTGTGAGAATATAAATTAGTGTAATTCTGCTCATACTGTTGTGACTGATTGTGAGAGTAATATCAATGTTATTTTCAGCTTTTCCCCTTTAACTGTGTGTGATAATCTGAGATTTGGTTTGATTTGATTTACTTTATTAATCCCCAGGGGGGGAATTTATGTCACAGAAGCACATAATACAATAAAAATAAAATAAAAACATAACAATAACATACACAACAACAACAGGTCTTGTACTCAAATATAAATTTTTCAAAGCATTATGACCATGATTATATATATGACCATCATCTGCATCATCTTATATAGCACTGATTGTAAAATCTAATTGCAGTTGGAACAAAAGATTTTCTAAAATGCTCTTTGTAACAGCGTGGATGAATTAATCTTGAGCTATGGGTACTCGCATAAAGCTATGAGCTATGGGTTGTTATTAACTGATATTAAATCTGTAGTGAGTGTAATGATGATTTCTGCTGGTTCTGGATCAGCTGTCCGTTGTGTGAAAGTGACCTTTCATGTGCTTTTGATTTTGTAAAGTGACTTTGAGCATCAGATAGAAGCTATATTATCATGTTGGAGAAGGAATTAATATAGATTATCTAGTTAGTTTTCTGATGAAAAGATGTGACAGATGTAATATCTCATACTGCATATGTGACTGTGTGTGTGTTTTATTGAAGGTTAAAGAGGACAGTCTGATGTTCTGCTGATCATCTGATGGTGAATAAGGATCCACTACAGAGACTCACAGTCAACAGAATCAACAGAGACTGAAGATACAGTGACTTCACTGTTAGAAATTAACACTTCATTTAGATTTCAACCATCCTCTGACAGACCTGATGAGGCGGCAGTGAAACACCTTTTATTTCACAGCAAATTACTCTTTCTCATTCATAGTATATAAAAATGTTGGAGTTTTAGAGTAAATATTGATCCTGAATGTGTGTGTGTTGTACCAGCAGAGGGCAGGCCCGGTTCTAGAACCAAATCACTGAGGGTGCTTCTGAAAATAGTGAGGGTGCTCAAAATACATAGTTCCCACATGACGTCACAACATACGGGCATTTGCCGACCCGGCGCCATTGCTGAGGGCAAAACATTTGAAGAAGCAATACGAGTTGAACGAAGTGAAATGAGTTTCGTGCTATAAAGTGAAAATGGTCATCTCCTGCTGGGTCAATGGATGATAAAATCGTGCCGGATGTTCAGTTAAATCGGGATTTTACACTATTCCCGTCATTAGACTGCATGGATGTGAGAAGACTAAGCTTTTGTCCGAACAACGACAGAGATTATGGCTGGCGAGCATAAACAGGAAAGAAACTCACTCAAAACACGCAAGAATTTGTTTGACAAAAGCACAATGTTGTGTTTTATTGCGAGTGTAAACAAATATAAGTTAACACATTGCAGTTTGTATAATGTCCTGTATGAACAAAATGACGAGGTATTAAAAACATACAAAACAACATTGTTTCCACTGTTTGATCTCACATTCCAGCATTGCAATCTCAGATTATGTCCCTAAAGATCCCGCGTATAATGTAGTTCCGCCGCATTAGCTACATTAATTAAAATGCACGCAAGTTATTTATTTTTATATTCATGCACCGAACCATGACGCCCGCAAGTACATGCATATTACAGAAAGCACCGGTGACTGTTTTAAGGGGAACATAGGAATTAAGTTGTGCAGGCTATGGCTTTTTAATAGACAGATTAGCATCATGCTACTTCGCTATGATGACTAAGTTACTTTTCAATTGATTGCATTTGAGCAAACGTCACCAAACCAAACCCCACGTCAATCTGATCGTCCACCTCCAGTGAAACGTGTTTTTTTAATATATATATAGGATTTGAACTTGTTGAAAAACATTGAAAAAAAATAAAATAAAATAAAAATTACAAATGTCCTGTACATACTGCTGTGCAACACAAGAGAAAAACCCTGCAGGATTTTATCATTCCTGCAGAAACTAAATATTTTCTTACAGGAGTTTTTTTTTTTACAGGTTTTGGATTCAGGATAAACTATATAATGTCTAGACTAGAGAAAAAACTGTGATAGTTTCTGTAGTTTTATATTCATACTTTTTTATTTAATTAGATTCAAGTACATTTCATTGAACTATTTTTGATATATTATGCTCTGTTGGCAGCAATAGAAACAACGAGTCTTAAAAAAATAAATGAATACAATTAAGAGTAAGAATAGATATAGGCAAAAAAGATATCATTTCAAAATTATGCATTTATGCACATCCATCAAAACCAGCAATTTAATTTTAATCCAACTCCCATCTGTTTGGTTGGATGCAAATATATATATATATTAAATACAGCAGCAATGAGTCGTGGAACATGCTGGTAAAGGTTAAACATGTTAACAATTTGCTCTGCTACAGCTTCCATGAAGAGTTTTGTAACATCAAGTAATATGCCATGCATCATGTAGTCATATCCAAATCCAGTAACCATGTTAAAAAACATCAGCAGCATTAGAGGAGATGGACCTTTTATACCATTTATGCATGAATTGCTTGACATTCTGTACAGCACAACGAGCCACTGAATCACAAATGCAAAGCGAACTGTAAACATGGACTGCTGATTTTTCACCTTCCCACTGACAAGCAACCCTTGGTTTTCAAGATCTAAATTTTATTCTCACAAGAGTCTGTGGAAAGTTCTCATAAGCTGTGCTAAAAACATCATCCTCGTCATCAGCAGAAAAGCTTTCCTGTCACAAATTGTGCATTTATTACACATTAAAAATAAAAGATATGAGCACAGATATTTGCAAACATATGCAAAAACTAGATCAAAAGAAAAGATCAGAAATTCTGTTCACATCAGCATCTGAAAAGTTCCCATCAGCTGCATGCATGTGAATTGGACTCCGTTTCTCTCTGCTCTGAGTCTGACAGTTTCAATAAATAAAACATTGTGATAATATAATACATTGTTCGTTGTGAAGTTATTTCTTCTGCATGAATCCAGCAGAAGACAACTTGCAAAGTCCTGCATAATTGCATATATATCCTGCACAACAGTCCTACAGGACGTTTGGAAATTATATTTAAAAATCCTGCAGGGATATAATTCACAAAAATACAAATTGCACAAAAATAAGAATGGAGAACGAAGCACCCTATATAGGGACTAGTGGATGAGCGCATTCTGGCACAGCGCGAGCTTAGACTGAGTCGCGTCACGTGCTCCCTGTTACTTTACTCAGCGCTGCTCAGGATGGACCAATCACATTTGTGTTTTTAATCACGTGTGTAATTACAGTATCCGCTCGCTCTCGACACTCTTCAATGCTTATTTCATTTATCATCTATTTACTTTATTTAATCATGGTTTAATGAAACAGATATAATACATGTTTTGTGAAAGATATGTGCTTACGTTGCGGAGATTTGAACGCAGTTGATTGAAGGAAGGCGTTATAGCGCCGCCTGGTGGAAGAGAACCAAACACACACACACATACAGAGCGCCGCAGGAGAAGCGCGTCATCCGCCCGCGACGAGCCTGCGAAGATGGCTTCCTTGCAGAAGGGGAAGAAGAAGGTGGTGAACCAAGAGGATTTGCGGCGCTTGATGCGGGAGAAGAAGCGTTCGACGGAGCGCGATAAGCGCGTGGACTCGCCGCACGCCCGATACAGTAGTGCGGGTCAGCTGAGCTGCGCGCTGTGCAACGCGCCGGTGAAGTCCGCGCTGCTGTGGCACACTCATGTACTGGGCAAGACACACAAGGACCGGGTCAGCGAGCTGAAGAACAGGGAGAACACCCCCTCATCATCCTCATCCTCACTGCTGAAGAGCAGAACAGCACCCGCTCCTTCATCATCATCTTCCTCATCCTCACTGCTGAAGAGAGGCGCGCCCGAGCCCGCGAGTTCAGCATCAGCAGAAGCGAAGAGAGCCAAGACCCGCGTCACTGCAGGTGCGACACAACAACAACAACAACAACACCATCAACATCACATCATAACTTTTGCGATATTTTCTAAATGTCGATAAAAAACTATTGTGAAATGAAGGCGTTCACATTAACCGATGTTATTTTCTTCTCGCGATAAGTCATTCCAGAATTCATGGCAACGGACGTTGGTAGGTTTATAACCTATATATCACAGCCACTGCACCGCACTAGACATTAGTATTGCTATTAATGGAAGGAGACGTGTGTGTTATCCAAGCATTAACGGCAGGGAAAGACACGGAGTTCTCCTCATTTCTGCTCGGAGGTCTTGACTGTGGCATTTCTTTGAGGTTTAGAGTCCAGTAGGCTATTCCTGTAAATATTGTTTTTTTTTTTTAATGAATTTAATAAAGAACTCCATCTCGAATTATGTCCAAACGGTCAGTGTACTTGCATTCGTTTTCCCTTATTTAACCCGGAATTGCAAAACTGGACAGTTGTTGTACTTGTATTTTTAAAACGCAAAGTTGAACACCAGCGTTTTAGTTTGACCACACCAATGCTGCGCTATATATACGTCTCGACGAATTTTCAGATATTTGTTTGACCTTTTTGCCTCTTTAAACATTTAAAATATTCACAAATTAATATGGGGGAAAATGTAGATTTTACTGTTTTTCTTTTCTAAGGCTAAATCAGAACCTGGAAATGATATTTTTCCCGCAGTGCAGAATGAGAACAGCCGTAATCACAGCCTACAGAAAGGGGATGTATAGGTGTGTTATAGGCTTATAATAAATGTGTTAATAACGAGCTAAAAACATATTTTCTTTAGAGAGATTATTATTATATAATCTGAAGGTATTAGCTTACGATTCAAATTTGTTCTTTTTAAAGTGGACATTTATTACAGCCTAATAAATGTTATAATAGTGATGATAATTATTATTAATTTTTGCGGACAACACAACCCCATCTTCTAAGTCAGGTGACTTGCGCAAAACCCGTTTCCATTGCAGTTTTGCGAAAAATCCTTTTTCGAATTGCCTGAAAAACCTCCTTTTTTGTGATAAACGGGAGTTTTTGCGAAATTGACGTGTTTCCATTGAGCGTATTTTCATGGAAATGCAGCTATAGACACCATCACCACATCCAACACCATCATCATCACAACACCGCCACATCACATCATAAACACCATAATTAATAAATAAGGTTATGACTCCATAAGCTACGACACCGACTCCGAGTTTGCGTTGCCGTTTTTTTTGTATTCGTCACTCAGTGGCTCTGAACTATGAAGGTATAATATGATGTCATAAAGAATCACGCGTGCAGGGTAAGATTTGTGAATTTGTACATACGGTTGCAAGCGTAAATTAAATTTGCATGCGCAAGAGAAGATAAGTGTAAATATCTTTTAAAGTGTAAGAAAACAATATTTGCAGCATTTATCTGTTATTCGTAAGTGTAAATCATGTATTTTTAAGCTGCAGCTTCATGCTAACGCAAAATAAATAGGATCTGTACTCGTATTCTTACGGTTTTTATCTTTTCACTTTTGCCACATGTTAAACACTGAACCTACATTAACCCCAGAAATGTCTTTCACTTTATTACATTTCTAAACCGCTTCTCGTGACGTTTGCAGTTGTGTGTTAAATGGCCGTGCTGACCGCACACTGGCGTGTCAGCGTCACACACACACACACACACACACCTTGCCTGTAGTTAGATCGCTGTAACGCCTCCAATCACGGGCGGCGCACCCGCCACTGAAACTTCTCTAGGCTTATGACATTTCACTTGGTTGTAGAAGTCATTCAAACTATTTGATATTTAGAAGGAAAATTATTGATGAATGCCATGAATATAATCACGGAAGCAGCAGTCAGACCAGCTGTGTGACCCTACTGTGGTTTCTGCCTATGACCTTTCATTCTGCCTTACAAACTCACTCCTGGTTAAGGCTAATGTGTGTGTGTGTGTGTGTGTGTGTGTGTGTGCAGGAAAGCAGGAGCAGACGGCTGTATCCTCAGGTCAGTCTGCAGGTCTCGTGCTCCTCGCTGGACACTATGATGATGATGATGATGGTGAGGAAGAGGCCGCTCCAGCTGGAGAGCCGATCCTGAACGCCGGGCTCCCCGCAGACTTCTTCGACAGCGGCAGCGTCTCCGTGTCTAACTCCGTCTCCGAGTCTAAGGCCGGCTCCGTGTCTAACTCCGGCTCCGTGTCTCACTCCGGCTCCGTGTCTCAGGCCGGCTCCGTGTCTCACTCCGTCTCCGTGTCTCAGGCCGGCTCCGTGTCTCACTCCGGCTCCGTGTCTCACTCCGGCTCCGTGTCTCAGGCCGAGGACGGCGGCGAGGAGAGGAAGGACGGCCCGGCCGAAACTCTACCCGAGGGTTTCTTCGACGACCCGGTGCGCGACGCCAAGGTGCGTAACGTGGACACGCCCCGCGACCACATGGACCGCGAGTGGGAGGAGTTCCAGAAGGAGATGCGGCAGGTCAACAGCGCGTCCGACGCCATCGTGGCCGAAGACGACGAGGAGGGGCGGCTGGAGCGACAGATCCACGAGATCGACCAGCAGATGCTGTGCTTCCGGCGCGTGGAGGTCCTGCGAGCCAGACAGGAGCTGGTGAAGAGCGCGCTGAGACTGCAGAGAGAGGAGGCGAGGCCGGCCGGCGGAGAAGAGGAGGAGGAGGAGGAGGAGGAAGAGGAGGAGCTGATGCACGTGCTGGCGCAGGACTGGAGGGCCAAAGGAGCACTCGCCTGAACACACTGAGCTGGTGTGTGTGTGTGTGTGTGTGATCTGCTTCACACGAGCGTGTACATGCTTTGGTTCTTCATATATACAATCACGCAGTTGAGACTTCTTCTTTCATCAAACATGAAAAATATAGTTTATAGACTTCTGGAAGAGAGGCGTACACACAGTTTTATGCGTACGTTGATTTAATAGGCTAAGAACGTTTGAAAAAGCAAGTTATGTTGTTGATTAAACCATTACATTTATATCCCATCTGACTGCTAACACTTTTCTCTTGTATGATCAGTTTTTTATCAATCAGTCGGAACTACTTTTCAATAATCATCAGCATTTTATCTCCGTCAGCCATTTCCTTTCGTCTAAGAAACACAGTAAAAGCAAGTGGAAACTTCACCTTTTCTCAGATTTGATTTAGTGTTCTTCCCGTTCGCTACAGCCCGGCTCAATGGACCTCGTGTCTTATGTGTACAGGCAGGTAAATTAATAAATAAATAGATTAATTAATCTCAACGAATCTTGCTTCTCCCGATATGGACCAACTTCCCTTCCTCCCCGCTGAACGCGAGCGATAAACGCATAAAGTATAAACTCTATAAAGTATGAACGCCTTGTCCGTTTGGAGAGGTGCGCACGGAGTCTCGCGCTCGGACGTGTTGAGTATATACACAGCTAGCAACAACTATCAATTAAAATAGCCTACATAAATCATGTCAATACAATATTAACATTATTTGATATTTTAAAAATGTATATTTGATCCACAGTCTGCTCTGATTCCCGACTTGCAGCTGAAATATGATGTAAATATTTTTCCACCATCAAATATTAGCGATTCATGCATTTCACACATTTAGGCTATATATATAAATCAATTAGCCTATATAAAAATGTACTTTCCACAATAGTGGATTAGATCAATGGATTTATTTCCATTCAAATGGATTGAAACCAAATTAATAACGTTAGACTTATGGTGCCCTCTAGTGGGCAACGTGAATATAACAGCCTTCATCTTTTCTAATGGTTTGAGCAGGGGTTATAATACCAAAACTTCAATTATAATAGATCTATGAATTTGTGATGCTCGGGAGGAGAAAAGCAAGTTCTAAACCAGGGGTTCTCAATTGAGTTAAACTCTGCAGGAAAGTGGACCTTGTGGACCAGAGATGACAACCCCTCATCAAAAATATTATATTATATTAACCTATTATAATCCATCTATTATAATTGCCCTTCTTTTTGGTCATAAGTTACCATGTTTTTCCTTTGTTGTAACAAGAAATAAATATTTTGATAAAACATAAGAAACGAAGCATGTTTTGCAAAAAATGCAAAAAACATTTATTATTTTCAAGGTCATGTGCCTTGATCCACGCCGAAGAAAACGTCTAAATGTCACATTTTTAATGAAGCAGCCTAATGAGTAAAATGTCTATTTTTCGGTGTCCCCCAACTCCTCGTTTAAGCAAAAGGTACGCTAAAAAAACGTATTACATCGACGTTAAACCACATTAACCATAATCTTTTAAATACTCGACCTAGTTCCGTTGCTTAGCAACGGGAAGAAACTCCTTTAACTTCAGTGCCCAACCCGGTATCACGACAAGACGTGAAATAATCACGTTGGTCCACTTTGGAAAACGTGTAGATGTCGCGGTTTAACCCCCTCAAACGTGAAACTTACACTTAAACTTACCATAACGACCTATCGGTTTTCATTAAACCGAGAAAAATGGAATTTAGTTTTATTGACAATCACTGCAAATGGTCTATTATTTAAAATCCAAAAAACATAATTATTTCCAATGTGAAAAGGATTAATTTGCCTCGATCCACGCCGAAACAAAACGTCTAAATGTCACGTTTTTAATGAAGCAGCCTAAATGGTCCACTTTGGAAAACGTGTAGATGTCACGGTTTAACCCTCTCAAACGTGAAACTTAGACGTTTGCGTTAACACGCTCCAGTGGAGATACCCGGATGTTTTTACACGCAATCGCCTCTGACATAACCATAGATATCATGGCCATAACGACCTATTGGTTTTCATTAAACCGAGAAAAATTGAATTTTGTTTTATTTACGATCACTGAGAAACGTTCTATTATTTAGAATGCAAAAAACATTTATTTTTACCTGCGTAAGTGATTCCTTACAGGCATTTTTATTCACATTGGCAGAATTGTATTTGATCTATTAATTTATATTCGGTAAAAATGCTATATTTATTATCATGTTTAACTTTAAATCAATAGTTAGGCTATGTATTTCGTTATAAGCAAGGCTCATTTAAACTATTTTATTTTTGGGCCAGCTCAAAAGTTTACAGTTGAAAAAAAAAACTCAAAATAGAATGCTTTGCGCAGCGCATGATGAGGGAACGTCAGCCAATTCCACCAACTGCGTTAAACGTATAATTTGTATTATTTAAAATTACTTTTTAAATTCCAAAGCTTGTAGAAGGTGGCAATACTGACCTGGTAGCCTTGAGTAAATTAACTTTTTCTTAACTGTCACCGTCCCACAGGTGGGACGTTTGCCACTATATTTTTAAAAACAATAATATCTTAGTAAATACCTTAAATAATATTGACAAACTATATATCATTTGAAAGCTTACAATCTCTAGTTTTCATATTTGGTGACTGATTTTCAAAATATATTACAGAGGAGCCATAATTTATCAATATAAAACAAGAATATTTTCATAATCATAAGGCGTGTTCAGACCTTTATTTTAAAATAGCAGTAAACATGAAAAATCATGAAAAAATGGTAGATACCTCAGTTTGTTTTCATGCCAAAAGTTCAAAAGATAGAATCCATTCAATTATTTTGGAAAAAAAGGTCTGAAAAGTTTGAAATATCAAGAAAAAAATAATAAATTCACCATTTGTGACGTGGCAGCGAGCTATGACTTACATGCGTGTTCTTTGTATGTGTTTCTTAGAGGTTCAATTTATATCAAAATCTGCCAAACTTCCCATGCTACTTCTGAATAGGATCTCTACTTCAGAAATTGTATGAAAATTGTGAAAATAATGGTTCATATCACTCAAAACACGAATGGAAATGCAGACGCCCTTATATGGGCAGTAATGGAGTCTGATTGTGCCCTAGTGAAAAAGTTTGGTACTGCGCTCAAACAAAATCTTACTGAAAGCTCATTTTTTGAGATATCAACCTAAAATTTGAAACACAACTTGTTCAGATTTTTGGCTTTGATCTTTCTGCCATTTTAGAGTAGCCCAGGTTTTGAAAATATATATTTTATGTAAAATATGAATAATTAATATTTTTACATTGTACATTTCCATAAACTCAAACTTCTATAACTTTTTTTCTGTTTCACTTTCTTAATTTATTTCACTTCTACAAAAATCTGCCAAATGTCTTCTTTAAAACAAGACCAATCATATGTCTATATTCCAAAGCATTCTTGAATTACAGCCATTTAAGTTCGAAATGTGCATTTTCATGTCTATTCAAAAAAGGGGGGGTGACAGTTAACAGGTTAAGATAATGATTCATAAAACATATAATTATCAGTTAAGCCTATACTTCACTGACACAGACGAAAATGAAAGACTATCAGTCAAAGTTCAGGGGGTTTAGGAGTTTAGGAGGGGAGGAAATAGGGCAGGATAAGGAGACTAAGAAAAAGAAAGATGTAGATGAGAAGAGAGCAGGTAGGCTATTGACAAAATAATCGAATGCCCACTGACATGGTTTTAAAGCTATTTATTACCCTTTTTTTTTTGGCCTTCAAAAGTCTTAAATTTCACATAATTTGGTCAGAGAAATCAAAATTTTCCCTGGGGAGGCCTCGAACCCCACTTTTTGTCCCAGTGTTAAGCAATTTTAATATAGTATTGTCATTAAAATCAGTGTAGATGGGCCAAAATATAACCATTCAAATATCAAGTACATAAGTGCCAGGCTACTAATATTTGAGGGTTCCCCCACCTGACAAATACCTCTTTAACCACTGTGTACAGTACACAACGAATTCAGTTTTGTAGCCTAACCACCATTAAGACCAAATAATAAGCTCCGTGTTTTGTTACTTTAAATAATAAGCAAGATGTAATCCTTCGATGTGACGTAACCGTACTACGGTGGCCGAGAGAGCTCCCCGCGCTGCAACCTGATGAAGACGCATGCAAAAAAAAAAAAAAACGTGTCCAAATATAAAAACGCGTGCAAATACAGAAAAACATCCGCAAATTAAGGAAAAAAAATCTTCATCAGTTCCACAACACACGTGTGCTCCAAGTACTCACAACACAACCAAATACAGAAACGCGCTGCAAGGTCCACAACGGAAATGTTTCCGGGGAACCAAATAAGTGACGGACCCAACTGTGGGACTTGACTATTGCTCGTGAGCTTCCCTATGCCCTACTCCCTTCAAAGGGCAGATGGCAAAGCTCTTCTCTGGCGTGAGCATGACACCTAGTGTGTCATTTATTTAGTCGTTTGGAACTTGATGAAGGGAACAACAATAGAAAACGTAATGTAATTATTTTTACCAGGATGTTCCTATGACAACACAGCACTTTGTCCATATAGAATTAAAGTATCAGCATATACGCGGATCGCTCAAAATGCGTATATATAACATTTGACTCGAAAGTGGCGTGTATGTTTACGCTAAAGTCATGTGGGGACAACAGTGTGTAAGTGCTGTGACTCTTCCCAGTTCTAACACAGTAAAGGGAAAAGTGTCTTTGGTAAATGGTATGGTTTGGTGTGCTTACCCATGTCTTAACAATACGAACGTTATCTCTCAAGCTCCTCATGACACACACACACTTCAGTAAAATCAGCCTTTATTCAGGTTACATTACAGAGAACATGCACTGCAAACTCACCATTTCATCATCACATCTCCTACTGCTTCCAGTTACCCTCGATTCTACAATATTTACACTTCATCTGGTTTATAAAGCGACAGCAGAGTCTGAAGAAGAACAAAACTAGAGCAGTGTTTGCAAGGCCTTCAGTCTGCAGAAACACACACACTTGGTAAAGGAGAAACCAGAAGATAGACACTCCCACACACACACACACACACACACACAAAATCAGTGCATGAGAAACCAGAGGAACACATTCCCACACACACACACACAGTGCTGATGAACTTTAAATTAAAACCTACATCTGATCAAAGACAAGTAGCTGAGTGCATGGCATTATATTATCATAAATATATCTGATTACATCCCCCTAAAAGCAGACATATGGGTCATCATAGTATTGCTGGATCTGACAGTAGTGTAGTTTAAAACGATCTTCATTTGCCTCAGAGACATGATTAATATAAGAGTGGATCTCACTGAACACGTCCAGGTTAGCAGAAATCAGAGGGAACTGAAGCTCCTCATTAA